GGCTTTTCCAGCAACTTCTGTTTTTGTTCCTCCCTCCACAATTTAGTTTAAAGCCCTATCCACAGCCCTAGTCATGCAATTTGCCAGGACTCTGATCCCAAAATGATTCAGGCAGAGCCTATCCCATCACAACAGCTCCTTCTTTCCTCAGTACTAGTGGCAATGTCCCATGAATTCGAATCCATTTCTCCCACAGCAATCTTTGAGTCATGCATTTACCTCTTTAATTTTATTGACACTGTGTGAAGTAGCTCGTGCTGTAATCCAGAGATTATTACCTTTGGTTATTAATTTAGCCCCTGGCAGCTCACATTCCCTCAGCAGAAACTCCTTCCTCTTTCTATCTATATCATTGTTATCTACGTGGGCCACGTCAACTGGATCTTTCCCCTCCCACTCTAAGTTCCTCTTCAGCCCAGCTGGGACATCTTGACACCCAGGGTTGGGTGGGTTGTTAACGAGGAACATAAACAGAAGTTGCTGGAAAAGCTCAGCAGGTCTGGCATCATCTGTGAAGAAAAAGAAAATCAGAGTTAACGTTCCTCAGAAACCTCTTGTTAATGAGGTGAGTTTGGTAAGTTATGGTAAGAAATCTCATTGCACGTCATGGTGTGAAACCCCCCAAAACACGTAGCCAAAAAAAGTTAGGTGCAGCCCCATTTTTACTTTTGCTGACCTTTTCTAGAAGTGGAGCCTGTGCAGACTGGGGGGGTGCGGGGCACTATTCTGTCACAAATAAGAAAATAATCACATACCCTGTATGGTAAAATACTAAAAATGCATAGGCTTAGTTTTGAAACTCAATTACAATGTTAGCTGTTGAAATGTTTGAACTTGGGCAAATGAGAACAGCAAGAGCAGTAGGATTTTGTCAAGGTTAGCACCTTGTGGTCAGTAATAAAAACCTCACCCACCACTGGATGGTGTTTCTCTTCCATACTCAGTAATGTGGATTCCTTCACTTGTGGAGTTGCCTCCAGGAATTCTGCTGAGAAGTGTCAGATCAGCAAGAGGATGTGGTCAATCATTTGAACTAAAATCATACAAAAGCAGCATCAGGGATTACCAGATGTAGCAGTTGTGGAGTCTGGAGGTGAGTGTCTGTGAAAACATCAACAGTTCTACTAAGGAAAATAAATTAGATGTCAGAACAGGAAGTCCTGTGTCCTGACTCACATGCACAAAAAGCCAGTTTTGACTATTTTGCATTCCCAACTTTAATCTGTTCACCTTGGTGACCGGGCCTTCAGCTGACTAGGCTTCAAGGCCTGGAATTTCATTCTGAAATCTATCTGCTTTCTAGCTCATTATCTCACCACTTTAATCTCCTTGAGAAGATTCTTTTCCTTTAAGTTTGTTCACAGGTTGTGGACGTCATTGGCTAAGCCAGCATTTCTTGCCTATCTGTAAATTATATGTCCTAATATGTCCTTATGCGACTGTTTGTCAGAATTTGTTTGGTAAGACACCTGTAAAGAACTGCCGGACTATTTTAAAGGAGCTATATAAATGCAAGTAATGCTGTTTGAAGTAATGAAGCAAAAAGGAAGAAAGAAATATCTTGCATAGGCGTGGTACTTTTCTTAATTTAAGCATATCCCTAAACTCATTATGGCCTTTAAAGTACTGTTGTCACTTTTGTAACACAGTATGTAGCATCTAATTTACACAGAGTAAGTGCCCACATACAGCAATGAGCAAATGGCTAGATACTCTGACATAGTTATACTGATAGAGGGATAACTGTTGGTCATAACATCTCTTGTTCTTTTTAATATGATGCAAGGGATCTTGTACAACCACTTGAGAAAGCAGATGGGCTTTTGCCCTATGCAAAACCTGACAGTTAAAATAATGATGTACTGCAAACAGAAGGTTGGCCTAGATTGCATATTCAAGTGGCAGGATTGAGACTTTTATAATGCAGTTTCACAGCTCTGATGTTTCTGGCATAAGGAGTAAATTCCAGCTTGGCTTCCAGCAAAGATTTCTGTAATATAGTGTACCATAATTGTATGCAAGATTCAAAGCATAGCTACAATTAGCGAACTGTCGTTACAATTACTGGCAGAGACAAAATATCTTCCTCATGAAATATACTTTAATCGAAAATAACTTCAGGAGGAATGGTTTTTCTTGCATCATGCCAAATTGGGTTTATAAATTCCATCATGTGAGGCTTTGCAGAAAATTCAAGTTGTTAACAATTACAAACAGCACTCAGCATTCTTAAGGATTCACCTCTTCTCTATGTTTTCAAAACACTTTTTCCATTTGCAGGCATCGCTGTGGATAAAGCATGCTATTGTAACTAAAATGTCCTCAGATATTACATCATCATCATCAGTTTCTCATAGGAATGAACAAATTGACCTTTGCTAACTCTAAAAGTAATGCATGGAACATAAAGTAACACATTTTCTAAGAGGAGGAACGAGATATACCATTTAAATACAAGCAAAAGCATATATTAAATGGAGATGAAGGTTTAAAATATACATGTGATTAAAGATTGCTATGTGGATTAACATTTAGCCCCAAAAATCACAAATGGGATTATTCCTGATTTTATACTTAATGGAATTGAAAAGCAACATTAAATTCATACAAAGACATAATTCATTCACTGTGTGTTGTGTACAGCTTAGAGACACCTCATTACAGAGAGGATACAAAAGTTACTGAAACAGGTACAGATAGGGAGGAGTCCGCTCTTTTCATTGGTGCAGGGAAGGTAGGGGCTTGCCTGCCAGGAATCTCTAGTGAGATGAACATGTCCTGATTCTGGTCATTCTATCAGATCTAATTGAGTGATAAAGGGGTTGAAGCAAGGCCAAGATGATGAGAACTGGCCTACTGCCAATTTCCAGAAGCTTGGCTGCTGTGGTTTTCAAATGAACTTTGATTGAGCTCATGATTGCTTGACTAGAGACAGGCAGAGAAGGAGCTGTTCTATACCATGCCATGCAATCACATCATGATGCAAGGAGTTGGAAAAAAAAATAGAATTATCAAGTCTGAAAAGATTTGTGGGAATTAGATCTAACAAAAAGAAAAGTCAGTCTATGTTGCATTTTCTACGCTTGTAGCTGAGCAGAATAAGTCTCCCTTCTCTTTGCTGGCAACCCTCACTCACCATCAGTAATTCTTTGTCATTCCTATTCTACATCAACAAATCAACTCATCCCTCTTCTTTAAAACAGTGCTGCAGGCTTATGCTGTGTGGTTGCCCTGCTTGATTTTCTGGCCTTCACAGTTGCTGTGCTGCCTACTGGCATGTGGATCATACAGACAGCTCACAGATTACATTTAATTGAAGCTGGACTTTCAAAGCTGTGGGCCACTGGCCAACAACAGGCAAGTGATATGATGACAGAAGTAATTAGATGGAGGATTAGAAAAGAAATGTCACTTGGTTGATTAAAATGTGGAATTCTGTATCTCAATCCTTTGTGAAACAGAGATCACCAATTCTATTAAAAAATAATAAGCCAGCTTGAGAAAGAATAAAAAAAAACCAGAGGACATGGGGAGTAAGCAGAAGACTCTGCCAGGTGGTGCCAAGTATGGAAATTGGTGTTGTATTAAGTGGTTTCAGGGATCCGGGATCTGAATAAGTATCACCTCTGTTTGAAAAGACCATCAGCTCAGCAAGACTGCTGCAGGTACTCAACCATAGCTCAACATAGCCTTTATGATCCGTTTTATAGAAGAAATGGTCTTGTTAATATTAATAAAACACTGCAAAAACATTAATTGCCAAATTGGATGTAACAGTTCCTGTCTGGTCCCACAACATTTTTTTTTGACTGAAATAAACAGGATTTGCACAACCTGGGTACATTTTCTCAGACACTGCTATTCATTCAGAAAATTTAACTCAAAACCTGGGCATCAGAAAGTGACATTGATCCAAACGACCATGAGGTAATCAGCCAAGAGCTGGCATGTCCACAAGAAAACCAGCCAATGGGGGGAGGTCCGGTAATAGGGAAGACTGTAACTGAAGCAGTGAAAGCCTAAGATATTCTTCAGCAGTCTAGAAGATCATTACTGTACTCTGTGGGTCTTTAGGGCAATTTGAAAACTAATCTGTTGAGTTATGGCCTGCATTAGCTTCAATCCAACTTTCACAGGTGTGGCCTAGTGAAAAATCTACTGCCATTTATAGTACAGACCATATGTTAACAGATACAGCCAGCATGCTTATGCTAAAATGTTCCTGGTAGCTTTGAACTACTATTCTTGTCACATGTGATGGAAATAGCAGCCTGTCATCTCCCAGAAACTCCAGGACAAGTGAGTGATCTCAAGTATTTTGACTTCACACCCATTTAAAAAAGAAGAAACCATTAAGGTACTTAAAATGAGTCTAGTCCTTGTTATCGCTAGTCTTTTATTGGGTCAAGGATTTGGCTGCATTGTGCAATACTCCTGGAATAACAATTCTGCTGACTCATTTATTATTTATTGAATCATATATATAAGCCATCCAGAAGACCTTGTAAATGATGCTCAAGAACATTTTTACATCCATCACTTGTTAAAGTTATAAAAATAACCTCTAACACCCACTAGTATCCTTCTTAATTATCATCTACATCCTGCAGGTCATACTATATTCACCTTTATTGCATACGCTTTCTGTTTGCATAAAAACACAACTAATGTGTCTAAAGCTGCAGTCAGTTCCAGTATTCAAAGCTTGTGATTTGAGAAGCTGACATTTGCAATCATCCTTGCAATCTGGTTGCGTAATTTATAAACAGTTATAAAAATGTGAAACCATCAAGAACAATCAAGAACAATCAAATCTCACCAAAAGAAAAAGAATGAGAGAATGTGGAGGTAAAGAATGATGGAAATGGTGATGGAAACACAGAATTAGGAAGGGACCAGAGAAAGATGAAAAATCTCTAATCGTCTGTTTAACAGAGCATTTTCAGTAAGTGCATTCCATAGAAAACAAATGAATTCTAGAAAACAGGGATAACACTTACTGTAGAAAACCACATCACTTTGAGAATCCAGATAGTCAATGCAAAATTCACAACTAAGATGATGAGAAGCAGCAGCACAAATAAATAAAGGCAACGCTTCCTCCAGCCATAGATCCCAATCTTGTAGACATATTGGTTCTCTGGCCTCTGCAGGCTACAGCCTTGTGTTGTCAGATATTGTTCCCGTACCATCTGCTGGGAAAGGGAGAGAAGGGAAATTAGTAACATTCTGTAAACAAATAAAAATATTTTATTTTCGACAAGTCCTGTAGATTGTAAAATGGATACACTGAGTGTTTAAATAAGATCCACTTGATGGAAAATGGTGGTGTATGTTACTCAAGTTCTGTTAAAATAAAAGGTAAAGTCACCAAAGACCTGCTCTTCCATTTGAGAGGACTGGTATTAGTTTATCCTGAGGGTCACCACACCTCTGGTGAGGGGTGAGATTGAGAAGATGGCACTTTCACAGTAATGTCAGCAGGTGCAGGAGTTGAACCCTTGCTGTTAGCATCACTCTGTGTTACAAATCAGCTGTACAGCCAACTGTGCTAACCAACCCTCTGTTTTCTAATGAAAGGTCATCACACAGGCAGATCTGTTACTGTCAGGAAATTGGCAAAATAACTTCTTAATAAAAGAGAAATCAACTCCAGGTGACTATCAGGAAGAAAAGAACACCCATAATATATAATGCATCAGAATAGAATTCCCAGGGCATTCCATTAATAAAAGCTTTGAGTTACGCTGGGAGATTAAAATTTTGTTGACATGGTCTATTTATCAACACTAACAGCAGGCAACATCTGTTACAAAGCTTCCCGATGCAGAAGCAAATCAAGTGTCAGGGAGCTGGGCAATTCTGCAAGCCCTAGAATTACATATTCAAGCCAGGTGAGTCCCAGCAGACCTCCCATCCGCAAAACCTACATAATTCTTCCCTCTGCTATTTTCACAACAAGATTCACTGCCTGAGAACTTAATCGAATGAAGGCAGGACCCAGAGCGAGGCCCATTTATAGTTCTGCATCTCCACAAGGGAATAATGGTTTACTGTGCTCAGCACATACAATTTGACAAACATGATTAAATCTCTTCACTTTTGCAACTAAATTATTCCAACCTGTTAAACAACTTAATTGTCAGATTTTGTGCTGCTAAGATCCATGAGCTCTTCCCAGTAAACTCCAGCTGTGCTCACCTCCATTGTATCTCCATGCTCTCTGAGAGTGATTTCCAGAAAAATTTCAAACTAAGTAGGAAAGCAACTGATTGTAATCACACCAGGCCAGTATTTACAGGCATGTTGGGCTTTCTCATCCTGAGACAGACACTGGTTTGAATGCAGGCCTGACAGTAAACTCATGCAAATTCAGGCAGCCTGTGAATTACTCTCGTCAGCCCATTTTCTAAGCAGCAGATTCAGGGAATGCAGTGCACGGGGAATAGGTGGGAGGGAGAGAGGAGGAAGGTCCATGGATGGAGCTGTAGGTAAATAGATGGGGTAGGTAAGGTGAGGTTGGTAGGTTTACTGAAAGCTAACATTGACCCAGCGATTCAAAGAGTACAAAAGCAGGGAGGGGATGTTGAACTTGTATAAAGCACTTTTTTAGACTCCAGCTGGAGTCATGTGTATTGTTCTGGGTACCACACAGTATAGGGAAGATGCGAGTTCATTGGAGAGAATCCAGAAGTGATTTACAAGAATGGTTCTCAGGAATGAGAATTTTTGATTATGAGGATAGATTGAAGAGATTGGGAGTGTTCTCCCTGAAATGCAGAAAACTGAAAGGAGATTTGATAGAAGTTTTAAAAATTATGAGTGGCTGGGTACTGTGGATAGAAAGAAGTCGTTCCTATTTGTAAAAAGAACAAGAATGAGAGGGTATAAATTTAAGGTGATGTGCAAAAGAAGCAAGAGTGACGTGAGAGAAACCTTCTTCTTAATGCGAGTTGTTAGAGTTTTGAATGCACTGCCTGAAAATGTGGTGGAGGCAGTTTCAAATTGAAGCATTCAAGAGGGCATTGGCTGATTATTCGGACAGAAATAACGTGCAACGGTATGAGAGAGAAAGGAGGAGATAGCACGAGGTAATGATGCTTGTTTGTAGAGCTAGTACAAGCATGATGGGCCAAATGGCCTCTTTCTACTCCGTAACATTTCTGTGATTCTGAGCTCATAGCCATCTGGCCAATTGAAGTCAATCTTAATTCACTGTGTGAAAAATTAATTGTGGCTGAGGTCCACCAATGGAATAGTGTATCTCCTGGGGAACATGCTGAGGTGGGGAATGGTATTTCCAGACATCCATCTTGCAAAGCCAACTTGTGTGCTTGCTGGGCTGTAAAAGGCACAGTTGGGCATTCTATAAAAGGGCTCCCTCTGCCAGTGATGACCTCCATCTTGGTGTGCTCTCACAGTCTCCCACCAATAGTGGCATTACCCAACACCACTTAGTGGGTTTGCCACTTACACAGAGACTCAGGCATGCCCATTGCCCCTTCCAGTTGTGGAGCCTTCCACCGAATCAGACAGGGCTGCTAGCTATGGCCTCTTAATTGGTTCTCCAACTAAAATTCAGCTCACTGTTGCTGACTGCCATCATTTTATCTGAGACTACCCTTTCACGTAAATGAAGCTGGTGTTAAGCATCACTGTTGTTAATGAGATTCAAGATAATTTAATAGTCAGTGCTTAATTTCTATTCAACAGCTGATTTGTTTTGTTTGAAAATGCAGGTTTCATGTTCATCTCCTCCACTTGCCATTCATAAGGTGTTAGACAGAAATTTCTACTTCAGTGGGGTCATCATTGAAATAGAAAATTTATGGAGGTAACTTACAGGCTGCCGATCCAGTCAGACATCAAATGTTGCACACTTATTTCAGTCCATGTGGCAGCAGTGTGAAAACTTGCTTAATTTCTGAGATATTGTATTTGGAACCATTATTGATGATAACAAAAGCCAGAAATGTAATTACTGTCTGAGTTTGACGAAGGTTACAATGGAATGGACAAAATTCCCAGGATCTAAACAAAGGCATAAATAGTGAAGTATGGGGTCACCTACTCTTTAATTTTCTCTGTCTTTTGCACCATTCATGGCTCCCTAAATAGAAAGTACACCATTATGATAACTTGTCCTCAGGACTGCATCTCTGGATTTTCGAAAAGAAGGCATTGCTGCCAGCACTAACCTCCTCCACTCCTCACCTTAAGCTGCAGCACACTGCACATTAAAGCCTCAAGCACCTGGTTGTGCCCCTAATGGTGTGCATCAATTGTACAGCTTTATAAGACTTTGGTTAGGCCACGCTTAGAATATTGCGTTAATTTGGTTGCCACACTATGGGAAGAATGTGGAGGATTTGGAGAGGGTGCGGAAGAGGTTTACCAGGATGCTGCCTAGATTAGATGGTATGAGCTATAAGGAGAGGCTTGTAAAACTCAGGTTGTTTTCACTGGAGCAGAAGAGGCTGAGGGGAGAATTGAAAGAAGTTATAAAATTATGAGATGCATAGATAGGGTTGAAGGTCAGAATCATTTTTTCCCAGAGTTGAAATGTCTATGATTAGGGGGCATGCATTTAAGGTGAGAGGGGGAAAGTTCACAGGAGGTGTGAAGGGTAAGTTTTTTACACAGAGAATGGTGGGAGTCTGGAATGCTCTGCCAGGGATGGTGGTGGAGGCAGATATGTTCAGGGAGTTTAAGGGACTTTTAGATAAGCACATGAATATGCAAGGAATGGAGGATATGGACCAAGGGCAGGAAGAAGGGAATAGTTTAATTTGGCTTCATGTTTGGCACAGCATGATGGGCCAAAGGGCCCGTTCCTGTGTTGTACAGTTCTAGGTTCTATGTATGTTCTATATTAAATGGGGAATCTCTACTGACCCTTAAATGGTGGAGGTTCTTGCTGGGTGCAATTCCAATGTCATTGTTGGAATCAAATCTTATGGACCTTTCAGAGCCCCTAGCAAGGGTGAACATTGGAAATGTTATTTTATTCAAATTTGTCTGAAGGTGGAATCTTGTACTGGACAGCTAGTCCTCGGTAGTTAAGATTATGCTGATGGAAGATGAGGCCCATTCCAATGTAGAATGATGACATTTATTATGATTCATCATACAAAAGGTTAGGTTGGTGAGGCTTTATTCACATCAATGGGTAACATAGGCTAGGAAGTTTGGTAGGGAGGGCAACTGTTCCTGATTTTGTTCTAACTTAGTTTTGTCCAAACGTTGGGAATACAGTGATTCGGGCATATTGATCCGAACTCTGAATCTTCTAATATCTGATATCATCAACTGGGCTTTCTTCTGGGCTTTGCTGAGTTTTTTGAGTATGTACATTTTAATGTCACCTGCAGGCCTATTATTTGAATGCACAAAGTTGTCTACTGTGGTGAGCTGCTGTTCAATATTGTAATGGATGTGGGCAAATAAAATGCCAAATAAAAATGAAAGGCAACAATGGAATCCTTAAACACTGAACTCAACATCTGGGAAGACACGGCCACAATAAGGTTAATTTTGTCAGATCGGTCTGAATTAATTTGAAGTCAAGAGATTGCTGGTAATGGCTGACATACTGGACTACTCATTTACTGGCCATGCCTGACTTGCAAGGCATTATGTACAGCAATGTCTATGGGTTCTGGAACAGATTCTTCTCACCAGTCCCCCATAATAACTGAGGCTGCACTAATACTTCAACAGAAGAGATAGCAAGAACTGCAGATGCTAGAGTCAGAGTCAATATAGTGTGGAGCTGGAGGAACACAGCCGGTCAGGGAGCATCAGAGGAGCAGGAGAGTCGATGTTTCAGGTCGGGACTCTTCATCAGTCCTGTGTTCCTCCAGCTTCATACTGTATTGACTCTAATTCAACAGAAAGCACAAATATTCTTTAATTTATAACAAGTGTAAACCTTATCTATGTATGATATACCTTATTGATACCCTGGCTTTATGAGTTTGCTCAGAACATATCCTGGGAATTTGCATTTATTTTCAAATTTGATTTTCTTATTATTGAAGGATCAAAGATAGAGCCGATGCCTGAGTTTATCTATATATGAGGAAAATGATTAGATTGATTCAGATACTGTTTATTTTAAAAAGTCAAACAGAAACTCAAGGCTGAGCCAATTGTTAGCTAGTTATTAAGCTGGATGAGGGGTTTGGCTGAGATT